TGTATTCTGCTGTCTGTCCTATTGTCTACTATCCCCCCTCCCCTCCCCTCCCCTCCCCTCCCCTTTTCTCTCTCTACCCCTTCTACTGTAAATCATTTCTTCCATTTGTAACATCTTGTCTTTTAAAAAACAAAAACTCATACATTAACCTGCTCACTAAGAAACAGTGGCACAACAACCCCCACATAATCTTTTCCTTTCCCCCCCTTTTGCACAAAAATAACAAGAGCTAGGAAGCACTAAATTAGTGAGCTGGTTGTAATAAAGCCTTCCTTCTCATGTCTGTGGATGCCAACTTCTCTGCCCAATTATCTGTTTCCTTGTTACTTCCCATATTGACACCTGGGATAGTTATTTCTTCCCGGAAGGAGTCAAATGTTTGCTGGGTGACTGATAACAAGGCCTCTTTTGACAACCCTTGAAAGGCTGAAATGGATGTTTATGGCAAGCTCTAACAATTCACAACATTCTATGATAGAGCAGCCAGCAAATGCACCCTCAGTGGGCAGTGTTACCTACTCCTACTGCCTATTCTTAGTGTGTAATCTCCAAGTGGAGATAAAACTCAGTGGGAGGATATGGGGCAATTATATCAGGCTTCTGGCTTGAAGAACTGAGTCACAAGGCCAATAAAATGTCCACAATCTTGTGCTAAAAGGTATCCAGGGAGTCTCTGAGAGGGTTTCAGAAGGCCTCCGAGGAAAGGAAACTAGTGAGTTTGGCGACCTGGACCAAGGCAACTATGGTGAAGAAGGTTTTCTTGGACCAAAACATAGTGTAAACAAACACTCAGAGTCAGGGTAGGTGGGGTGTGGAGTGGGGACAAAGATGGAAGRGAGGCAGCTGGTTTCTTGTTCAGATAACAAAGATTCTAGATTTCTGAAAAGCAACCTGCTCCAGAGACTCACATTTTGTCAGGGAGTAAAAGACCATCGTTATCTCACACTGCAACTAAGAGACCAGCCCCCAGTATCTATCCCTTCCAAGAGCCAATACCAAGAAAATTACACTGTTTGGTATCGTGGCTGTCTCTCTCTTTGCCAAGATTTGAGGACCTGACCTTGTAGTTGGCTCTGCTTCTAGCCAAGCTGAGTCCCTAATGAGATTAGCTGCCACTTTTCATTTGTGCTCCATGAGGTTGGGCTCATCCTTCCCCAAGGAAGATAGTGCCTATGGAATCTAAAGTAAATCTGTCCTTCACAAGGAATTGCTAAGGACAGAACTGATTTTTTGGTCAAGATGTCCGCTTTATTTGCTATTTCATATAAACTGAGGGAAGGTCTGAATAGGAAAAGAAGTGTCAATAACATTTTATCTAGATACCAAATGGTAGGAGGTTATTAAACCTTTATGTTCCTAGGTAAATGAGGTACGGAATAGTGTCTCCTGGGAGTCCCCCAAATCCTACTGGTTATAAGGAAGAGGGCAGTTGCTGTGAGAAGCCCTCAAACATTTCCTGGAGGAAAGTCCAGTTCAACCTTCCACCTGTGAGTTCTGTTACTTATTTAAACTAAGAGTATAATTGAAAGGAATCTACCGAACAAATAGGATTGTTCATTATTCATTTTCTACTTTCTTTAGAACCAAATGGAAATGTCAGGCAGAAATACGGAACAAATTTTTCGGTGGATATAAATGAAAAAGCAGAGAATCCCATATCCTACTAACTGATATCTCTTAGGGCTCCCTGCATACATCTACTAGGCTCAGGTCCTTACATCCCAATATGAACACCCCAACAGAACAGGCCATTTAAAAGTGCTGGGCCAGGAGATGGAATGCTGGAGTCTGTCAGTTACTTCCTGGCCAACTACAGGTAACTCGCTTCTCTCTGAACTTCAGCTTCTCCATCTGTTAACTGAGAGGGCTAGCTGTGGGCTTGTACAGTTGATTCCACATCCAGGGAGACACAGTGGCCAGTACTAGGGGCCACTTGCTATAGGTTCACAGAAAATGAGTCCCCAGTTACCCATTGTGACTTCTGAGAATTAGGATTCAGGACAAAAGAGTGGTTTCTTCTTGCAGAAGACGGGGGAAAGAAGTGGGAATCTTCCTTTGCAGGTATCCAAGTTCCAATGGTGGAGTGCCATCAACACTCTTTCAAAAGAAGACCCTGGAAACAAATGCTGCCATCGCAAATCCACTGGCACCAAGTGCCATGAGAACACACTCCTGAACTTGAGTGCACCTTGTCCTAGACTAAATAAGAATTTTACATGTGCAGACAGAGTTATACCATTTCAGGTGTTTTAAACCTTGAGAATGTGAAAAGTAAATGCTGTTGTCACTGCCCCAAACTAGCACTAATGAGCCCTTCTCCTTCTACAGCCATCACAAGTGACAAAAAGCATGAGGCTCAAACCTCAGCTGAGGCAGTCTGTGCTGCAGGAGAACCCAAATCAGGTCAAGTGGGGACAAAATGGCCGGGACTTCTTTTAACTTTGAGGCAAAGTATATATGGACTTGACCTGGAAATGCTGGAATGAAGCAGCATTACTTCYGGCCTTGGTCTGGACAGTGTGCTATGGCTCACTGTGCTTTACTTCCCTATTCATAGGACAGGAGCAGAAAGCATCACCCCTTCTTCCCAAATGGGATGTTTATTTGTATTTAGCTTACTTTCCTTGCAAAGAATTAAATGCCTTTCAGAAAGGTAGACTGTATCAATTTCTGAAAAGGAACATGTTAGTGTATTCTTTCCAGAGCTGTGCCATCTTTGGCAATGATTATTCACTCACAGACTAAGTCAGTGACAAAGGCAACAGGGTGATGTGGCACCAAGGCACACTCATGCTAGTGTCCAGGTCTGCATCCTAGCCACAGCATAACATGTACATTCAACCTTTCACTCTCCAGCTCTGTGCTGCTTCCCCAAACTCTGACACCCACCCTCAACCCACCCAGCCACATCAGACCATGGCCCCACTCACTTTCTAGCCTACTTGCCTGGACTCCAGCTCCTCCATCAGAAGTGGGGGCAGGGCCAGGCTGAAGTTAGGGAGCAGTAGGCACATGGAAATGGCAGTGGAAAGAACCAGAGCAATTTGCCCTCACACACACTACACACACAAGCAGAGGCAGGCAGCGCTGTCTCAGCATGCATGAGGCAGGAACTTGGGCAATACATACCAGGGTGCTGGGGACTGGGAGAAGCACAGGAAAGATGCTAAATTTAGGGCCTGGGGTGGGGATGCGGAGCATTCTTAGCACTATTTGTCTAACTACAGCACACACGATTGCAAAGCATAAATAATTAATTACTTGATTCCTAAACAAGCAGAACTGGCAGCAGGTAGAGGAGAAATCTTTAAATAACAATACTAAGCTGCACTAACATTCTCCCATGAGCTGGGCCAGGAATTGGCAAACTGTGAACAGATCTGGCCTACTTAGCTGTTAACAGTTAGCCACAAAGCCCAGATCAATTTTGGAGCCATGYAGGCCCAGTCCACAGCCATGCAGGTACTAGTTACATTCCAAGTTTGATCTAAGGTGTGATTATAATCACATTCACACTCTTGAACTTCGGGTCCATCTAAAAGCAGGGAGCCAGTGCAGCCAGGCGAGGCTCATGCTGGATTGGGGAGAGTGGTCAGAGGGACTTGGGTAATTCACTATTTACACACTGATGACTGACTTGGAAGTACTTAAGAATTGACTGAACACTACCCTTTACCCCTGTACCTCTAAGGCTAGGGCAGGCCCCTTAAGACCAGCTCTGAATGAATTTAGGATAAAACCAGGAGAGGTTGAGGTCGTACACCAAATCAAAACACCACAAAAGAGACCTGAGCCTGGTCCCAATGATAAGAGCAGAACCAGATTGGCTGGGAACAATGGGGCAGGGAACATAAATAACATAACAAGTGACCACAAGAGTATACCTGTCTGTAAGAAACTGGAGCCTGATCCTTAACTTTTTATTCAGGATCAACAGAGGAGAGCTCAGATGCTCACAGAGAAAAGGAATATATATTCCCACCTGAAATTCTGAGGTCACAGTTTTGATCATTGAAATTCTGGGTACTGCTGGTATTTTAATGATGAAAGATAGAAACCTCACAGTTTGCTGGCAATAGAGTCTGGCAGAATGAGTAAAACCAACCTCATGCTAGAAATGAAAATCACTCCTACTTATGTGGAGAAACCAAGCAAACTGTAGTTGGTTTATTTCATAGTGTTAAAGACACTAAGATGACCTACCTAGTAACTCACTACGTATCTGACATAATTGCTTGGATAACAAGGATTTGGATATTAACAAAAAGTGCTTAGACCAAATCCTACAAAGTGAGATGAAGAAAGAGTGCAGAGAAGCCTGGAATTCAGAAGCCTGAATGCCACTTTAGAACTGAATCTGTCACAGGACCAGGAGTGGAAAGCCAGCTTTTGAGTGATAGAACAATATCCTTGCTACGTTCCTAGGCAGTAAAAGCAAGATGCAGACAGAAGGAAGGTGGTCAGAGACTGACTGATGGGGATGGCAGAGAGGGGTAGAAGAAATGCTCAAGCAGCTAGCATATGATCTCAAAGTCCTGTCTCATTTGAAGTCTTTGGAAGTCTATCACTGTACTCAAAGTCACTGTACCAATATGAGATGTGGATGCTTTGAGGCTTTTCCTCATGTCACTGCTTGAGCTGAGAGTAAAGCAGGGCTCTGCCAGTTATGTCCGACAGATTCCAAATGAATGAGAAGCTAAGGCTGCCCAGTCTGCAGAAGTGGTTGGAACTGAGAGAGGCTAATGAAATGAATCCCAAACACCACACTGTTCTCTTCCTCCAGATTCACTGTCTTCTCAGAAGAGAGGCAATTAGAACAGGGCAGGGCAGGGATGTCCCATTGAGACAGATGCTTGATTTTATACCAGAAAATCACTCTTCTGATTTCATTCTGGCTGAGATAGACCTATGATAAGTTATAGGTCTTATTGCTTTGCAGATGAGTGATTCCTTTTACCCCCACAACACTCTTATTGTGCGGAGATCATGCATTTGCAAATAATTTGTCTTTAGTACATAGCAGTGACTTCATATTCAAATGCCTTTCTAATAATATCATGAATATGCATCAAGCCTACCCTTAGATAAATAATAATTACTTGGAAATTGATATGCTGAAAGATAAAAGAATTATGGTTGGAGAATGAATTTATATTCAATGGGAAACTTTTGGAAATGATGTGTTTCGGAATGGACCCAGTGCTGGAGCACTCTGGCTTTGTGCTCCTGTCATCCCCCATGCTRAGGAGGAGGGGATCCTCAGACTGCCACACCATCATTTACCATAGGAGATAAATTATTTTATCTGACAAAGAGGAATGATTTTTCCCCCCAAACATAAGAAGCCACAAATGACATTCCTTCCTCTCTGTCACTGTTTTGGAAACACCTGTAAATCTTCCTACAACCACCACACATCCTTTGATCAGAATTTTTCATGGTAAGTATTTTTAAGGAGAATCTAGTACATTGGCAGTGGGCCTACTCTTCTGAAACCTACTGCAAAATCACTAATGAGACTGGTGCTACAGGCTCAGGTCAGTGGAGACTGTTCTTTTCAAGACCAAGTCATAGCAAATCCAATATGGCTAGACTGCCAATGCTCCCTCAGAGTTTACCATTGGAAAGGACAGCTCTGCTTGGAGAACTTGCTTCACCCAGAATTCAGGAGAAGAGTAAGCAGAAGATACAATGAGGATCARTAAGTATACCCAGAAGTAGTCTGTTCCCTTCATTTTAGACTGCAGAAAACCTGAGCAATAAGTAGCTGATTTAGAATGCTGATGCATATCTCTGCCTTTCCAGATCTCTCACCATCTCTGCCAAACCCTGACCACCACATCTTCCACCTATCTTTAGCCACTCATTCCGGTCCTGACCCTGTCTGAAACTGATCTCAGGATTTRGCCTTTAAATGGAATAAACAGATGCATCTTCACCAGTTCCTAATTACCCATGGTAGAGATAAGGCTTAGACTCATAGGTTCCTAAGAGAATGTGCCTTTCATGGAAAGCAAACAGCAAAAGAAATTAGCTCAAGTTTCTCCTAACAAGTAGCAGTAGCCCAGCAAGCCTTTCAGGGCATAAACACTATCTCAATCCTAAGGGGTAAGATAGTTCTTCTTATTAAGGCTCAAATAATCTACCTAAATTCCTGTAAATTCAATCCCATATGATGAATTCCAAGGTCAACTCTGTATCAAATACTGCTTTGAGTAAGTAGATCACTAATGGAGGCTTGGAAACCTGCTATAAACAAGTAGATTGGGATGCCATAACAGTACTCTTTGGAAGAATGTTTGGCACAGATTTATACTTGAAGCTGTTTTAAGAGTGATATCACAAAGTCATACCTGTCCTGACTTCAGAGGTATCCCTTCCTAACCTAAATACCAGGAAAACAAGGTAGGAAAGGAAGGGTGGAATTGTGCGCATCTTTTCCCTTGGTAAGTTGAAGTCATTATTCAACAACATTCAGCCAAGCCAGCCAAGCCCAACTCAGAGCGGGGGATACATGGGAAATCAGAATATGCCCTTCCATTTCAACAGCACCCCCGTCTCTCCCCTTTTCTCCTCCACCTCCCTGACTCCCTAACAAGCAATGATCCAATAGCATGAGCAATTCCTTATGGCTCCCTAGGTTTTAAACCTGCCCTGAGCCCCTTGCTAGGGAAGGCGCATCAAGCCCATGAGAGTGGAGCCTGTGAAGTAGGGAGGAGGCTGAGGAGAACCTGGGCCACAGCCACTTGCGTCTGCTGCTGCTGTTGCTGGAGGAGCTGCTGGAGGAGCTGCATCTGGTGGTGGGTGGACAGCGGCGTCCCTGTGCCCAAGCCTGGTGGCTTCGAGGAAGAAGAAGGAAGCAGCATGCGGGGCGAAGCTGTCAGTGTGGGCTCCTGAGGATGGGGTGAGACCTGAAAAGAAGACATGACACATGGACAAGAGCCACAATCAAGGGCCTCACTTTCCCTATCATATTGACGACATGTACACAGGCAGGGTGAAAGGGCTAATTTACAGTCCAGAAGATGCTGTGTATTGAATGGCATGTAAATGGGGCTCTAGGGAAGCAATGGCRTCACTGCCTGAGGGTAGACCACCCAGAATTGTATCTGGACATCTCAATAACTGATCCCACAAGATGGGAGACAGGCAAGTGATAAAGTCCCATCTTTAATCTGCTACTTCAAATTATACCCTGTTGTTGAGTTACCTGAAATTCCAGACTTAGGAGAATTTATTTCTATAAAACATAGCTACCTACCACATTACCATAAGACTAGGAAGAAGGAAGCTTCTATTCTTTCCTTCCTCAGGGGTCTGAGATGTTTCTCATGAGTTAGAAACTGGAGAAAGAAGCCAGGTGAGGGGCAGCTGCCTTCAGTTCCCCACGGCCTCCCCTTGCAGTGAGAACACCAGGGAAGAAAGTTTGGACTTGAAAACCAATGATCTGGAGAGATCCTCTGTCAGATTACACTAGTTTCTGGCTCCTCCTCCTGTTGGACTCCTTCCTATGACTCAAGAGTTCAACAACAGGAAGCCACATTTTGTTTCTGGCACTCCTGCAGCTGGTCCCTCTTCAGACATGAAAGAGGAAGGCACCCAGGGACAGAGGGCTATTGCCCCTTGTAGAGGACTAAACGGACACCAAAGAGATCATCAGCTACTGCCTTCCACACTATAAGGGATTCTCTTTTTAATGAATTGGCCTAAAAATCTTTTTTTTTTTTTAAAAGAGAGAGTGAGAGTGAGTGAGAGAGAGAGAGAGAGAGAGAGAGAGAGAGAGAGGGAGAGGGAGAGGGAGAGGGAGAGAGAGGGGATTTTAACATTTATTCATTTTTTCTTAGTTGGACACAACATCTTTGTTGGTATGTGGTGCTGAGGATCGAACCCGGGCCGCACGCATGCTAGGCGAGGGCGCTACCGCTTGAGCCACATCCACAGCCCCTGGCCTAAAAATCTTGACTTGAGATAAGGTAAATGAAGGATAAGGAAAGTGGTATCCATGATTCAGTAAGCTGGCCGGAAATCTAAGGGGCTATTGGTCAATAATTTTCCTTCTGAAGATATAGTCTAATCGAGACTATAAAATTACCATCTCGCCATCCCTGGAATAGGCATCAAGGAGTAGGGAAGGAGGTCTGGGACTTTAAATTTACTTTTTGGGTGATCTTGTATTTATGGTCAACAAATCCTAGTATTTTTTTTTTTTTTTGACATAGACCATTACTTTACTTCCAAATGGTCTAAGTTGCCTAACTGATATATGACAAGAATTGAGTTTCCAATCAGAGAYGTAAAAGTGTAGTAATAAAAGAAATACGGGGGCGGGGGGGGGGGTGGCTCAGCGGTAGAGCGCTCGCCAAGCACGTGCGAGGCCCTGGGTTCAATCCTCAGCACCACATAAAAATAAGTAAATAAATGTATTGTGTCCAACTACAACTAAAAAATTTTTTTAAAAGAAAGAAAAAAGAAAAAGAAATACAGAGAATAATTTTTGGAAGGATGGGGTTCCTCTATGATTTCAAGATACACAAGTAAAACCTATATGCAGAATGAAAAATTTTTTTAGTTGTAGATAGATATGATACTTTTATTTTATTTGTTTACTTTTTTATGTGGTGCTGTGGATCAAACCCAGTGCCTCATGCAACAGCTCTGCCACTGAGCCATAATCCTGGCCCTGAAAAATATTGACTACTTATAGGCCACTAATAATGATGGGTTTCCTTCTAAGGGTAATATATTTGGAAAATAATACATATCTAATAATAAATGGTAAGTAGAAGAGCCATACTGCTGAACTTCTGCATTGTCTATTTACTTTTTCTCTTGACAATATTTAACATTGTGAAATATATCGTAGAAAGTTAAAGTTGAAATCAATAATTATAAAGAATATTTTTGATTGCCTCTAGAGGTTATTATCCTAAATGAAACTGTGTATAGTTTATACATTATATAATTATAATAAATACCTTGATGTATACTTATATGAAAAAAAATAATAATTTTCCTTCTGGGTTTTTTTTTTTTTGTTGTTGTTTTTACTTTAGTTGTATTCAGTTTTAAATTTAGTCTCACATTCTTAGTTTTTTAAACTGGATCATATTAGTTGCTCTTCAAGGCCTCAGTCATCTCATCTGCAGGATGTTAGAGTAGGTAATAATGTCCACCCTGAGAGTAGTAGTAAAGACACATAATTACTGAAGCAGGAAGAGGGGATCCAAGTATACTTGGTTCCATTGGCTGAACCACAGGGCATTATGGGTATTATATGGGTATGCCAGGATGAGCCTTGCATGAATATTGTGCAGAAATGATTGTTTAGGGAAAAGGAGGAAACAAAAAAATCAGTGGGGCCAGCTTCGGTGGTGTACATCTGTAATCCCAGAGACTCAGGAGGCTGAGGCAGGAGCATCACAAGTTCAAGGCCAACCCGGGCAACTTAGCAAGACTCTGTTTCAAAATAAAAAATGAACAAATATACAAACCAACAGGATCCTGTAAGGACAACACACATCAGAAAGAAAGGAGTTCCACAAGCCAGACATGGTGGTATATGCCTGTATTCCCTGTGGTTCCAGAGGCTGAGGCAAGAGGATCACAAGTTCAAGACCAGGCCAGCAATTCACTGAGACCTAAGCAACTTAGCAAGATCCTTTCTTTAAAAATTTTAAAAAGGCTAGGAATGTGACTCAGTGGTAAAGTGACCCTGGTTTCAATCCCTAGTACAAAAAGAAAAAAAGGAGGAGCTCCCACGCGGCATTGTGACACACAGCGGTGTTATGTTGGCACAATGGGTTGACTCTACAAAAGTGTGGCCTCTCTGAAAGCAAGGAAACGCTCCATCACTGCTACCATGCTGTGGAGCAAGGAGGCAGCAATGACTTGAGGCTAAGGCTGTGACACAGGTCATTCTGGAGGCAGCAGGAACGTGTACAGATCACCTGGATGGGCCATCTCCTGCCTACCTTGGAGTCCATGTGGGAACCTCCTTCCTTTCCTACAGCATCCAGGTCGGTCACACCTCGGCTGAATTCCAGGACATCATTCCCTGGGAGTGGGACCTCTACTGCGTCGATGTCAGTCTCCTCTGCGGTGACAGTGGAGGCTCTTTCAGCTCCCGTGAGCTGGCGGCCTGCAGAAACAATAGGGAAGGGAATGGTGACATCAAGAGCAATGTCCTCTCACTTGCTTCAGCTCAAGTGCTCTTCAGCACTGTCTTTGCTGACATATAAACCCACCATCTCATCTTCTCTAGTTTTCTCCCCACCCTTCCCGTCTTAGTTAAGGGTGTTCTCTTCCCTCATTCCCCCACTGGTGACCCTCTGCTTCCCTCCCCTCCTCTTCCCTTTGGAAGCTGCAATATCTAGTGCTCTACTGGGAGAAATAACTCTAACAAAGCTTCTCATGCCGAGTGTCCTCCTGGCCCTATCAGGGAGAGCTCTGTCCTAGGAGTGCCCTCTGGCCTCTTTTCCCTTAGCCTTTCTCTCCCCCACCACACTCTCCCCTGCCCACCTTGTTTTCTGTTCTCTTCTTACTAGGAATTCCTAATAAAAATTAAAAGTGAATTTTATTAATGTGGGAGTAGAACAGATGCTAAAAGCTATCTAGGATTTTGTTTTTGTTTTAAATTTTGTGGTTCTTTCCTCTCCTCCATCTCCCATATTTAAAACGTTCTGTGTGACCTCCATTAAATTTGGTATGAAACCACTTGCCAGAGCTGTGGTGTCAGAAAAATAAAATGTATTGTTTCTTATAAAATTGAAAAAAAAAACCAATGTCGTGTCTACGTAATACTTCAGCTTTCGGTTATGCCAAACCAAGGGATATCATGGGCTTTATTACATTTTCACACATCTTTCCACTCAAGTACATTAAGTAACTTTCCAACCCAATTAGATGCTTCCATTTTAATAGCTTTTCAAAGTTCAGAAACAAAGGGAAACCAGGCATAATCCCAGCTGCTTGGGAGGAGGCCAGCTCCAGCAACTTAGGTAGACCCTATCTCAAAAAACAAACAAACAAACAAAAAACAAAAAGGGCTGGGATGTGGCTCAGTGGTAAAATACCACTAGGTTCAATCTCCAGCATCCCCCAAAAACAAACAAACAAAAATGAAAGGGACATTTCCTTAAGCCTGGATATGACAGCTTTGCCAGGTTTTTATGTTTGTGTAGACTGGGTGTGGGAACTCTGGAAAAAGGCAGTACAGTCATGTCCTCTACAACCCAGAGCAGGAATGAAATCAGGCTGAAGGAAAGTACCCTGTAGGGGAGTCCAGAGACTGGCAATCTGCCCTAGTCAGGTCTTCCTGAGCTGATGGATAAGAACAAATCGCCTTACTCCTTGGGCCCAACTTTTTCAGTGGTAAGAGAGGCCCAGTCAGATGGACAGGTAGGTTTCCATAACTGAGGAGTATGGGCAGGGAGATCTAAGCTCTCTCCTAGCAGAGTATCAAACTCCAGGACTGACCCTAATTCTCTCTCTAGGAGCAGATGCAGAGCAGGTGGCCTCCAGGAAGCAGTGGAATTAGGAGATAGAGATGGCAGCTTTTTGAGTTAATTTTTCCACTTACCACTTTTCTTACCTTCCTCTGATGACAGAGACCAGGTCTTTAATATCTCTCTCTCTCTCTCTCTCTCTCTCTCTCTCACACACACACACACACACACACACACACACACACACACACCAGACACATACACACAGCATACTGCTTAATATTAATGTATCAAAATCCACTGTTTCTTATTTTTCTTCATCTCTTGTTCCTTTCTATTTCTTGGGCTCTCTAAAAACATCAAATAATTTCTTGGCATTTCACAGGAACTATTTTCTTGCTCTGTATTTGGGATTAGGTTCATCACTATTGTCTTCAAATAAAATTTCTTGGAAGTTTTCAGAGACCAAGCACTAATTGGAAAAACAGAGCAGGTTGACACAAGCCGTAGATATAGAGAACTGCTACCCTAACGCTGGTGCTGGTGCAGAACACCAGGCCTCAGTCATTTGAGTGGCTGTCTTAAAGAACAAATAGTTCTAGGAATTCTTCCTTTGCCAACCCAACCAGACATCTGGGAAAAGAAGCATGGTGTTTCAGAAGTCAACAGTATACTTGTTTTTTCTCCAGGCTGCTACAGGATTTGGGAAGGTGAGGGGTTGCAAAGGTATTTAACAGAAAGGATGGCCCTGACCATGGCCTGCTGGAGCAGCTCTTTTACTCTTTCATGAGCCAGCAGGCAGGGAGCATAGAAGCCACCTGTTTTCTACCATACAACCACCCAGAAGTGACCTTGACATTTTGGGGTTAGCAAGAGACTGGGCTTATGGAAACTCGTAGCTGTTGTTTAGGTGGTGGCTGCTGCTGGATACTAAGCATCTTTTTCTCCACACTTGTCTAGGAATAATCAGGGTGAAATGGACATTGGTCTGGGCAGGGGATTATCATCAGCTGTCAGGAGGAGTTAGGCTCCAGGAGCACTCTATGCACCTGTGTTTCAGGGCACTGAGCACACAGAATTGAACATACCCACTTTTCCCTTCTAGACTCAAGACCAGGGCTGTGTCCCATTCATCTGTTGCCTAAGGATCTGACTCAGAGAAAGTGTCGCATAAATACCAACAAAAGACATAGTATTGTGACAGGGTAGCAAATCAGTAGAGCAAACTACAAGAGGAGGCTCCCTCTCCTCTCCTCTCTCTATCCTTAGGGATCCTCACAGTGAAGACTGAGAAGCTCCAGACACAGAAGGTTTAGAGATGACTTTGTCTGGGATCAGAAAATCTCCTATGATCTGAGCAGGTCCTAAGAAACCAAACTGCTCAGCCATTCTGTCTGTGCTAATCAATTCCCAAACTAAAGCAAAACCAGGGGACTGCTTTCTGAAAGACTTTCTGCTGCCCAGCAGGGGCTTCAATGATCACACAGTCTTGTTGACTTAATGAAATAGGACAATAATAGATCTGTTAGAACTGGGAACAGCTATAAATATTATGGGTGCCTAATAGCATACTAGATAAGAGGAGATCTAAAAGAACTAATGGTCATTAGCTCTTGACCATCTTTAGATCCTAGTAAATAAAGGAGGAAATATGGAATCTCCAACTGTCCAGCATAGAGAAACGTAGGCAAAAGAAAAGGCATAAAAACCTTTCTGGAAAATCCAGAAAACTAATGGAATGGGGGCACTACGGGTTCTTAAATGTAACATAAGGAAGTAGTACCAAGATTGGGGGTGGGCACATGGATGCATGGATGCTTTGAACTGTTTAAACTATCTCAACTTGATACACTAAACAGGAACTAGAGGGCATTAGACATGCTTATTTCATTCATTTATTTCATAAGCATTTATTAAGAACCTTGTATATGATAGATATCTACTGCACATGGTGCATAAAGATGAGTAAGACAAATCTGTTTTTTATGCTTGTCCAGTCTGATGGAGGAAAAATACAGAAACCATAGCTGTAGACTGAGGCTGTGTTGCCTATGGGAGAGCTATCCAAGGTGCAGGACAACAGAAAGGAGCACCTAACAGGTGGAGTTTAAAGCCTGTGCAGGGAAGAAAGCAACTCCTGTAGGAAAATACCAGTGAAGGCATAGGGGAGGGAAGGCTGTGGGTGACATTCTAGACAGAGGGCAAGGCAGGTGCAAAGACAAAGAGGCACGGAAATCCACAGCAGGTCGGGCACCACAAATAGTTCTGCCTGGAGGAACCTGACCAAGAAGAGTCAGAATCTTATTTTGAAGCATTAAAAATGAGTAATACCATTAATTTTTAAAAATTTCACCCTAGAGATAGGGTGAAAGGGGAGGATAGATGCAAAAGGAACAAGAAAAACCAATATTTTAAGATGAGAAACATGAGGGCTTAAGCTGTAGGGGTGACAATGAAACAGAGAAGTGGAGTCTATCTGCAAGGTCTTCTAGGGGTGGAAATCACAAGGCTTAGCTGGACACTTGTCCATGATATGCAGTGGCAGGGAAATGTATATGATGAATTTTTAAACACCTGATTTAGGTGCCTGGGTGGAATCTGGCACCTATAAGGAAATTTCGGGAGGAACTGGATTGTGGGTAAGGGGATGAGTTCAATTTTACACGTGTTGAAATGATAAGAGGGTGTATAAGAGCTGAATGGAGATCCCATCAGGCTGTCATGTACATGTTATGGGCCACATATTTGTATCCTCTTCTTCTCCCCACCAAATTTACGAATTAAAGTCCAATGTAGTATTTGAAGAAGAGACCTTTAGAAGGTAATGAGTGTAGAGCCCATATAAAGAGATTAGTGAGGACACAGTGAGAATTGGCAGCACCTTGACCTTGGCTCTTTCAGCCTCTGAAATAGTGATAACTGAAAGGATACATGCAGTGCATCCACTGAGACAGCATATGAGCTAGGTGCTAAGGTGAATGCCTATAATCCCAGTAGCTCGGGAGGCTAAGGCAGGAAGATCTCCAGTTTGAGACCAGCCTAGGCAATTTAGCAAAACTCTGTCTCAAACGAAAGAAAGAAAAAGGAAGGAAGGAAAGAAAAGCTGGAGATGTAGCTCAGTGATAGAGTACCTCTGGATTCAATCCCCTGGACCACCAAAAAAAAAAAAAATAGTGTATGAATGGAGAGTTCTGGAGAGGTCCAGCCTAGAGACAGATGTTTGCTGAAATCACAAGAAGTCGGGAAAGAAATAAGGGACCAAGTTCAGGAGCAACTCCAAAACTTAAAGGGGCACTTGCAAAGGAATCTGGAAAAAAAATAAGGAGGCTAACAGTGAGTATASGTAAGTTTATAAGAAGCTTGGCTATGAAGGAAAGACAAGAAATAATGCCACAGGCTAGGGAGACATATAGGAAAAAGAAAATTTTTCTTTGTTGTTTTTAGGACAGAGAAGGCTTGACCTTATCAATCTGCAGTGGGAAGAAAAATCGAGCACAGAAGATTCAGATAAAGATACAGGAGTAAGATAACTGATAGCTCAAGGTTTGTGAAGGAGTGACACTGGGGTACAATGCAAAGACAGGTGAAAGGGCTAATCTTGGACAGGAGAAGGGAGCTGGGGACAAGCAGAACTGCTGAAGAGTATAGTCACCCAGGCCAAGTTTAGGAATCACCAGTGAGAAATTGGACAAAT